CGTGTATGTCCTCGGAAGTTGGTATATATCTGTGTTTTTGTCCTAGCAATATATAGCAATCCAAGTACACACACACACACACACACACACACACACAGATACACAACCATGGGATTTGTTTTTGCTTTCAAAGATGTTCCATCCTCCCCGTTTTCGCATCATCTTTTCTAAATGACATGGTTACATGCAGAGGAAACGTGTGCAACGATGAGACAATATAATGAGAAACGCCAATCAACGATAAATCTTGGCCATTTGCTCTAAAGTTTGTTTGACAACAAGAATGGTTAAAATTCAATGACATAATAAAATAGTTGTTTTTCTCACCCAGTGGTCAGACCAATCGTTCATAACCACAGCCGGTCCAAAGGATCGGGAGGGATTCATGCTGGCACCGGTAGTTCTTATCTATACGGCAAAAAATAAATATAACATTTTTTGTGAAAACGCATGATTCAAGTAGTAATTGCATAAAAACTTAATGGGAAGATGCATAGAAACTAAAAGGTAAAGTTATTATATTTATATTGCTTATTTCGAGCTGAAAGCAACACTGAACAACTTGGCCATTGCCGTACCACATCAGCACTGTAATTGCATTGCTAGCACATGGTTATGTCATCCGTAGAAAATGTGTTTGATTGACTCTGTAATGCCAGTAGCGAATACAGTACACTGACATAAATCTAGTTCCATAAAGTAAGTTTGAACAACTTGTGTTAATTTAACACATTTATATTATGTTATGAGCGATTTTTGTTCTAGTGTATCTAGTGTATTCTAGTGTATCCTATCCTAAACTTATGGTGTTACGGTGACAGATGTAAAATAATAATAGTTAATGCTTGACGTACGCCCTATCTTGATTGTCCTTGGACATTTCTAGTATTAGTGTCTAAACTTAGATGCCTGTCAATACTGATTTGAAACAGCCATTTAAAGACTAAAAAAGCGGACCACTTTTAGCGGAACACCTTTTTCATATCCTTTATCAATGAATCTCAGAAGGTATTTCTTAGGTAATATGAACAATGATTGGGCATTGATACGACATGCAGACATAGGTAATTATTATTAACGTTTGAATAGCCTTTCATAATTTTTTTTCAGTAGGCTTGTATTGAATACTTAATGTTGGAATTCTTGACTCCAATGGCAGACCACGGTGACGACTAAACAACTGAACCATTTAGCGGCACACCCTCGTACACCGTTTCAATTCAAAGTGCCCCGATGTGGAATCGCATCGCTAATGTGAACACACTAATAGTCGGTGGTTGCGTAAGCTATAACCTACATATACATTGTTGCAACAACAAAACATACCCTATTACCTTAGTGGAAACTTTTGATAGGTTGATACATTGTTGAGCACAAATACAAATTATATTGCGGCAAATTATGTTAGCATTTCAATTCAATAGTGAATGAATGTATACCTTTCAATTATTATATTTGTAGTACGTACCACTTATTTACATACTTAATGCAATCAAGTGGTTTCCGTTGTTGGTATAATCTTCGTTAATACAATTGTTGTTTTCAATGCATTTTTACTAGTTCAGTAATGAAAATACACTGTCAATTATAAGCCATAACATGACAAGGACGAGGATGCAGGTAATAATTGCAGAGACGTAGTCAAGCCCATAATCTAAACGAATATTCCCTCATTATGGGACAAAGCGCAGTTCATTATACGTGCAGTGGTAGCTTAGGTAGTAAGAAATATATATAGTCACGAATCGAGCTTAAACACGCCAATAGATAAGTTTCCAAATGAAAATGAACAGGATTTCTAAATTCGAACAAATGCCGGGCACAATATTGTAATTTGTATGGTTGTTTGTCCAGCATTTTTTCAAGCAACTCCAATAAAGAGAATTACTGGAACATTAGCTTAATCATGGTTGTAGTTTGTTTTTCCATGACAACATGTTTCAAAGGTTAGGAAAGAAAGTCTCTCTGGAATAATGAAACGCTAGATTATTTTCAAATCATTGTATTGAGGTATAATATACACATTCGCATCAGTTAACTGCTAGTGTTACTAATTGTATGTATGTGAATATAAACATTGGGTATGAGCAGATAAATATTAATAAAATATCTTCGTTCAATGTTACTTGTACCACATGGTTACTTCGCACCACACTAATCATGGCTTGAGCCGGCCGGAGTTGGATATGTCTTTCTATCGTGTCTGATTTAACGGTAATTTTGGTGCGTGCCTACTTAGCCCCGACTGTTCAGACACACATCTACTTGTACCGAGATATCTAACATGAAAGCAACTAATGAAAGAGCAAAACTAAAGATTGGATAAAACGTTTACTTCCAACAATGTTGGCACGTGTTATGCAAAATAAAGGTAGTGTAGTTTACTGACAATGTGTAAAGTGGCATCGCTATTCCAATAGAACAACTCACTAATACTCCCTCGGCGCACAAACTTTTTGATCGTCAGTTAATACATTCGTATTCATTAAAGTTACAATTTGAACTCAAAACATGTCATTTTAATATTGTTGTTCGATGCTACATGTTACTAGCCAATTAAGTGGAAAGTGTATGAGCATGCGAAATAGTCTATATGCAACTCGTCAACATTAAATGTTCCCTCACATTTGTACGGCTCGTATAAACAAAAAACCCATAATTAATATTTTGTGTTAAGAAATCCTGGTCATTTTTTTTCTGGAAATTTACAAATGTGCATATTTTCGCATGTCACTTGCTCGTGAATTTCTATGCGCAGTTGAAATACCACACGCTAACCACACTATTTAGTTTGTCTCATGTTGTACATATTGACAATTTAGACATTTCGGATATTAATATTAAAATTAATATTAAAATTATCAATGACCATTTTTGCGTGAACTACAATTCGGACGGGAATGTTCGCTTAAAGAATAGGGGTCGACGCAATAATATACACAAACCGTCTTTGCCCCGTTATCACGCACCATTGGGCTTTGTCCTTTAATCCTTAAATAGTGGGGAATGCGCAGCCCTTTATTCGAATTATAATACTTCAACGTAAAACCATTTAGTATTCTACCGAAAATAACTATTTGAAAGCAATTATTGCGTGTTCGTATAAGAATACTATTAAAATGTTTCTTGGACGGCGACTCCACGGTGAATATAACAATGAATAATTGAAAGTCGATTGGTTTTCAGGTGCATTTTTTATTCGTACAGTCACATGTTTGTTTTATTCTAGGGTGGCTTACATACACAGGTTTTCCTGCCAAGTTTGATAGATCGCTACACGTTTTGCTTCAAAGTTGTAAGATCATCGGTATCCTGTATTATTCTGACTGGACAGTTGGCAATAACATCGAATATGATGCTTTGAAAACACTCATGAAATAGGGGTAACACACAGAAAGTCGACCCGCCCGGCGTTATGGATGACACTGAGTACAATACCAGCATAGTGCAGTACGAGGCCGTGGCATCGGGACTGCATACTTGTGTACTGTACACTACAAAATCTTACTTTGTATCACAGTCAATATAACATGTGATTATAGACTGATTATAATAATAGTTGACTATAAACCAGTCATCATAGAATGACGATATAAACCAGTCACTCTCGCATGTGAATATACCAGTTATTAAAGCATAAAGAAATGTGAGATTAGAAAAAGTCATTATAGCATGTGATTATTGTCCAGTCAATATATTACTCGGCAAATTATACGTTAATTAATCACGGGTAATATTGCCACATACAGTATACTACTTTTTACGAATTAGCGAATGTGGAACTCAAATTCAATAGCTTGTGATAATCAGATCAATGTACTGTCTGAGGGTTTCCACTCGGGATTATTCTACCTCGTAGATTTAAGTTTTTAGTAGACACAGGCACTCAGTAATCATCGCATGCATGACGCAATATATAAATTGTGTTAGTATCAATATTTGACCAATCACGTCTATTTTTAAGGAAGTCTTACCCCTGCCATGACACCGACGATTACTGCCAGACCAACAGCTAGGGAGGCAGATCCCAATAGGTCAGAGCGTCGGGGATCTACGGTGGCAAAAAATGTCAGTAGCATCTGAAAAGTGATGATAATTTCCATGAACAAACCCTGCCAGATATGAATACCAGTGGAGAGCGATGTAACGCCAAGGGTTCCACGACTATCCGTTGATGGAAGGAAAGCGTAGATGAGAGCTGCACCTGTGACCGCGCCGATACACTGTGCTGGGATGTAAAACACTGTGACAAGAATATTCACTTTCCTCGTGCAGAATAATGCAATAGTGAGGGCTGGATTCATGTGAGCCCCGCTGACGTGGGCAAAACACTGTATCATAGTTGCGATGGCCAGTCCGGAACCAATAGCGATCTGAACTATAGTCGCATCTGGTCCGGGCGAATTTAAACCAGATGCAATTGCGAGAAAAACGAAAATAAGCGTGGCGACATATTCCGCTAAAACCGCTCGCCAAAAGCCTACACTACGTATCTGCTTAGCCTTCGTTTGCCCTGTCATATTGCGTCATACAATCAGCTGATGTTATGTTGAAAGTGGCTGCACAGTATATGGGTGAAGTTTTAAAGTCTTAACCAATATATATATTGCTCTCAGTCAGTGAATTTACATGTCATATGACATGGATGTTAGAGTGCATCGAAATACCATAGTTTGTTTTTAATTGTGTCATTATGACTTAACAGTGGTATGCAGGTGAATATGTGGTGTACCGTGACATGTTGAATAGTTTATAGTCTAGAGATCGTGCACGGAATGGGCAAGCTATATGACCACAGGTTACTTACGTCATTAAAGCGGGGAAGT